GGGTGAATCGCCGGAATATTCCGTCGATAATATTCTAGAAAAAATATGTCTGAAGAGTCGTTTAGATTTATTTTGTTACGAACTTAAGTCAATTATGATAATAATAAGAGAGTATTAATATTAATGTGTACAATGAAGTCTTCGCAAGCTTTTAGATTGTAGATATAGTGTGTGTGTGTGTGTGTGTGTGTGTGTGTGCGAGCGTGTGCGTGTATGTAAGTGTGTGTAAGTGTGTGTGTGTTTTATGTGATACACGTGTAATTTTAATAAAATTCGTCAAATACTTTCGTGAGTTACAATAAATACATAATTCTTGACCTGTCTTTCCTAACAAATTAAATTTGTTATTATATCATTATATTTGTTATTAATAATTATATACCTTTTAACATGCATTATTGCATTATTCAATGTTATTGCGTAATTGTAAACATCGACAAACTTTTTGTTTCTTTAACGCTCGGAGTTAACTTTCTGTTAAGGACTAAAATTTTCTTGAAATGACTATGTTTTCTGTTGTAAGAGTAACTCGAAAATTCTTGAACTTATATAACGTCTTGAAGAACAGAAAATTGAATAATAAAACATATTTATACACATATTTTGTTCTTTATTACCTAAAAAGATTTGTATTTTATAAAATTACTTTGCATTACTTACGAGATAAAACTAAAGATAAGAGAGGTTCAAGGAAATTAACTTTATACACGATTTTATCCATCTTATTAAAAAAGTTTTCAGCACCTTCGCTCGTCGGAGACTATCACCAAGACATAAAAATATAGTGACGATGAGGTTAAATCGGAGGGCAACTATTACGTCCAGGTCTTTGCCCCTTTTGAAAAGTCTGCGGTTCATATGCCTTTCGCCCTCTTTCTGTCACCCTTCCTTCCGCGCTTTTGCCTTCCCAGCAATTGCCCGACCACCACCAGCCCGACCATCTTCCCTGGCTGTTACCGTCTGGTCGCGGTTATTGGCTGCTATATTCGCGGAGGCGACATAAATTATTGCTACATTCTGGTAGGCGAGTACGACTTGCTTCTCTACTTTTACGGCGAATAGCTTCGACCGCTTTCACTCGTGTAAAACAGTATCGAGGGAAAGGTTAACCTCCGAACCATCTAGGTCAATCCTTGATTAAGAAGATATAACATTAACTTTTTTTGAGGACCTAGAGATTTTCTTTTCACGAAATATATCTATCGAAATGTTTCAAGCTTTCTGTATTTAAAAGATATTTGGATTTCTATCTTCCAAAGTTTGTATAAATAAGAGAGAGAGATTAATCTCTTTTAGTTTAGAAAATGTGATGATAAATCGTCATTTATTTCTCATTTCTATTTTATATATACATATATATATATA